GCCATATTTATGGTGAGCATAAACGATGTAAAGAACGCGGTCGTACATGCACAGATGACCGCGATGAAATGGAGAAAAATGATGTACCATTTTTAAAGTTGCACGGTCTGTAAGCGAAAATAGAAGATGCTTTCAGATTTATAAGCGCTCATTCCGATAGCTTGTTATGCAATGTAACAAATAATCGTGCAGAATCGTTCAATTCGATAATCTGCGAAGACATCGGTGGAAAGCGCATTCATTTTGATGAACGAGGCTCTTACAATGTCAGAATTGCAGGAGCAGTATATACGCAACAAGTTCTAACGCAAGTGCATAAAAACATGTACAAAAGTGTCTCTCCTGTTGTCGAGAAATTGGAAAAAGGATGACAGATAAAAGTTGTGAAAAACAGAGAATCTCGACTAGTAGATGGAAGATAAAAATTAAAACGCGTGTCGGGAGCAGATCGTTATTACGGCCCGCAATCGCAAAAACCAGATCTTCCATTTGAAGTATATGAGCAATTTCGAAAAAATCATTTGGAAAAGTTATTCGAAAATAGTAGAAGCAGAGAGAAAGTTGAATGCAATATGAGAGGTCAAAATGAATCCGAATTATGGCATTCATTGAGACGCGAAATGTTGACGGCATCCAATTTTGGAACCGTGTGCCGCATGAGACCAACAACGTCTTGCGCAGGGACTGTAAAAAATATTTTGTTTCCTCCGTTTATCGACACCGTAGCCATGAAATATGGTCGTGAAAACGAAGAGAACGCAAGGAAAGAATTGAGCGCAAAGCTGAATAAAGAAATAAAAATTTGCGGATTATTCATTGATGATGAAAATCCATGCTTAGGTGCTTCTCCTGACGGACTCATTGAAAAAGATGGTCTCGTCGAAATCAAATATCCTTTGTCAGCTGAGCATTTAACAGCAGACAAGGCTATAAAGACATTGCCTCAATTGAGAGGCATTTTTGATAGAAAAAATCCTGATGAAATGAATCGGAATCACCGATATTTTTATCAGGTTCAAGGGCATTGAATATAACGCAGCGAGATTACTGCATTTTTGTTATATGGACGCCAAAAGGTTTTAAAACGTTACGTATTAACAAAGACGTTGCTTGTTGGAAGAATAAAATGCTGCCCTATTTGACACGCTTCTATAATGAATGCATGCTTCCGAAAATCTTGGACAACCGCCATAATAGGCATATGCCAATTAGAGATCCAAGATATATAATGGAAGCTAAAGAACAAGCATGCAAAAAATTTATTAGTCGAAAAACTAACCGACGAGATATAGAAAGAGAAAGCATCCAAAAGAGCAAACGATTAAAATCAAATGTTTTGCAAACTACTGCTTCTCTAGATTTGGAGCAAGATGACGATTGTGTCATTGTTAGTTACTCAAGTGACAAATGAGATTTAACAACAGATTATGTGGTGAGACATAAAAAAATTCTGGGTGACATGATTGCTCCTATTTCTTTCGTGAAAGAAAATGTCTTGCTTAGATGCAGCAAGTTAAACGACGAATCGTTGGATCGATTTTTACGCGTCGTAAGAGAAATTTCTGCATTTGAAACATAAAATGTATTATATTTAGAATTACCTCATATAATCGTAGCTAGTCAGAGCAATAAGAGCTTACAGATCATTGAAGGTAATTGCAGTGATCATTGGCGATACATTTTCCTCGATAGCACCAAACTTTGCGTGTACGACAGTTTACCTAACTGTATGTACGATAAGTTGGTAGCTAAAGAGAAAAATTATATTCATCGCCGTTATCCGCAAATAAGCGAAAGTAACATCATTTTTGAAAATGTTGATACACAACCGGATTCCACGTCTTGTGGAATTTATGCTGCAGCTTTCGCTACAACTATAACATTAGGCGGAAATCCTTGCGATGAAAAATACTCCAAGGATGTATTATGCATGAGACAACACTTTTACAAAATTATAGAAGGCAATAGACTGTTGCCTTTTCCAAGGCGAGAAAAAATTATTCTTAAAAAAAACCTCGAATAAATATTAGGTGCGCAACTAAGTTCTCGCTGTTTTTCAAGAGATGGCTCCAGTAGTAAGTGCTTGTCGATTGTGACATAACCAAAACGTCATGAACCAAGCTTAGACATATGGTAAACAAACCGCTTTGACACATTAGTGATTTTGTTTTTGCGTCATATACTTTTGGTTGTATGAAAATGTCTTATTTTGTGCCAAATAATCGTCATTTGCGGGAAGTGTTGCTTTTCTTCTTTCATTCGAAGAAAACGGCGGCTGAAGCGCATCGAGAACTCCAAAAAGTTTACGGAGATGCTGCTCTAAGTGAAACAACGTGCCGTGATTGGTTCCGTCGCTTCAAAGACGGTGATTTCGATGTTGACGACCGTTCGCGTGAAGGAAGGCCAAAAACCTTCGAAGACGCTGAATTGGAGGCATTGCTCGATGAGGATCCGTGCCAAACGCAAAAAGAGCTTGCTTCAGCATTAGGAGTTACCCGCCAAGCCATTTCCAAGCGATTGCATGCGTTGGGAATGATTCAAAAACAAGGAACTTGGGTTCCTTATGATTTGAAGCCAAGAGACGTTGAGCGTCGTTTTTTCGCCTGTGAACAACTGCTCCAGCGGCAAAAAAGGAAGGGTTTTCTTCATCGCATCGTTACGGGTGATGAAAAATGGATTCATTACAGCAACCCAAAGAGAACAAAATCATGGGGACTGTCCGGTCATGCTTCTACGTCGTCGGCTCGGCCGAATATTCACGCTGCGAAGGTTTTGCTGTGTATTTGGTGGGACCATGGCGGTGTTATTTATTATGAGCTGTTGAAACCGAACGAAACCATCACTGGGGAACGGTATCGAACTCAATTGATGCGATTTAGCCGAGCACTGCGCGAAAAGCGGCCACAATACGAGCAGAGGCACGAAAAAGTGATTCTACAGCATGACAACGCTCGGCCTCACGTTGCCAAACCCGTTAAAACCTACTTAGAAACGCTCAAATGGGAAGTCCTACCTCACCCGCCATATTCCCCAGATATTGCGCCGTCCGATTATTACTTGTTCCGTTCGATGGCACATGGTCTGGCTAATCAGCAGTTCCGCTGATATGAAGACATCTCAAAATGGCTTGATTCGTGGATAGCCTCAAAAGACGAACACTTCTACCGTGACGGTATTCGAGCTCTGCCAGAAAGATGGGAGAAAGTTATCGCTAGTGATGGGCAATATTTTGAATGATTCATTTGTAACCATTTTTTCACAATAAAGTTGCATTTTCATCAAAAAAACAGCGAGAACTTAGTTGCGCACCTAATATCTTCGAGAGAAAAGATGCCTTGATGCAATGTTTACAAAAGTCGGGGAGATGAAAAAATATACTGGTTGCGTTCTCACGGGAATGGGCGATGGAGAAGCCCATTCTATATTCTCTTTTATATAATATTGTCGTGATATATTTTATTAATATTTGTAAATTTATATGTATCATATTAAATTATACAAATATATAAATGATTATGTAATACGGCTAAGAGTTTGCATGATATACTTTTTATTAGCCTTTTACTTATATCGATTCGAAAAACGAATCGTATCGAAGAACGAATATGTATAAATTATACGTATAGTTTACATAAAACAACTTTTGTAAATATATTATTTGCATGTTGAATACATACAAATTCCTCTGAGAATATATGCACCGAAAGAAACACAGCGAAAACAGTGTGAACCATATTATAGAATTATATTCTAAATATGTATGCGACAAAAATAGATATCTATGTGCTGTTAAAGTGTTTGTATACTTGTACAGGACGATAAAACACTAAAACTTCAAGATATCATGTCTCAACACATAGAATACAATGTAAAAGGCTTTCTACTTTTCACTGCGATTGTTATGTGTGTTCTAAATGATTACTTTATATATAGACTATATTTCGATATGCATTGCGAATATTGAAGATCTATAATATATATTATGTATACTATATGTTTTCATAATGGGTGCATTCAGTGGAGAAAACCGCTCAGTGAGCGGTTAGTGACTATTGGTCCTTACTGTTCCTTACACTCAGACCAATAACGTTGACGAATTACTCAACAGTTGCGCAACTGTTGAGTGTGTGAACGCACCCAATGTATATTTTCGCAATATATATCGGAACGTGTCTTTATGTACATATCGATAAATGTCGATAACGGAACTGTAAGTGTCGGTATTATCGACATTATTAGTTCCGCTCAGATGAGGGCGCAATCGCGTTGGAGTTCGGTCGCCGCTCCAGGATCCCCTTAAATGATGAATATCCTGATCCCGAAGCGGAATACATACATATTGAAAATAACGAAATAATTCCAGGGAATGAACGTGGTCGCGAATTACGAAATGAATTGTGTCGTCAATTTATAGCACAATGATAAAATTATTTATTTTTTCAATAAAGGTACATATTTATCGATATATATATTTATTTATTATCATATATTATCAACTCTTAGACGGTAAGATAGGATAATACTTGATATAATACAAATAATATAGACAAATAATATTGTAATTAGTCTTAAATCCTATAAACACAAACAAACCTTGAATTAAATATAATAAACACAAATAAACCTTTAATTAAATATCGTAAACACAAATAAATCTTATTGTAATTAGTCTTGAATCTCATAAACATAAACAAACCTTTAATTAAATATCATAAACACAAATAAACTTTATTGTAATTAGTCTTGAATCTCATAAATATAAACAAACCTTGAATTAAATATCATAAATACAAATAAACCTTTAATTAAATATCACAAACACAAATCTTTAATTAAATATCATAAATACAAATAAACCTTCAATTAAACAAAAAAATTGCACAATTAGGAAAAATTTATATTTATAGAACTATATATTTATTTATAGAACTATATAGAAACAGAAAAGTATAATATATATAACTTTTTGGTTTTAATTGATCATCTAATACTTTCTGTGTAGTGTTTCAGGTAAACTTTAGTTGATTTTGTATACAATTTTTCAAAAGGACATTTCTTTCATCTCTTTGAGCATTTCTTATAGCCCATTGTTCTTGTGAAGCTTTGACGAAATCTTCATTAATTTTTCTTATGCTTCTATATTCCTCTATCATTTGCAATTGCATATTGTATCAGACGTTACCTTCTTGCCTCGAATTTAATGATGATAATGGGCTTCTTCGCTGCGTTGAAACAGAAGCTCTTCGTTGATCGGTTGCAAAGTAGTGAACGTTAGACACGTGCAATAAAATGTCGCTGATTCCCACGCGACAGAAAGTTGCGATAAAATGCGTTTGGATACGGTACAGGAGTTTCAAATCACTAGATTTGTTTTCTTAAAAACAGCTTGTTTAATAATCAACAAAAAGGTGAGTCTCTTGCGAGAATCCGTATAGAGAGTGGGAGACTCCTAACTTAGTGCTGCGGTGTACCGGACTTGTGTAAAGAATGACGACGTTGTCTCCTCGGATCGCCTTAGCCTTAATATTTATAGTTCGCAAAAAACCAACCGTGTTCGAGCGGGATTGGTTTAATCTGAATTCACGTTCAGACTTGAAGAGTAACGAATACGACCGTCCTTCGATGTCACATGAACGAAAACAATGTCTTGTGTTCGAGTTTTTAATCAGTATTCCAATCAGCATTGGAAGCTATTGTTTTGACGAATGTACACGAGCTAGGCTCGGCCAACTAGGTTACATTGTTAGCTGTTCATAAGAAATGGAACAACAACAACTCGGAATGTGACATTGAAGCGTCGATATTAGCATTATTTGGAAGCACTTCTTGCAAATCAAGGCATCCTCTCGAGAAACTTCCAGAAGCGTGAAATTTAGATTATCTCGAGAGTTTGTTTTTATACACAGAGTTCATGCACTCGCTTCTTCCATACGAAACACATATCCTTCAGAAATTGTCTTTCATTTTTTAATTCAGATGAAAACTTCTCTATAGCAAGTGTACATTGTTGAATATATTCTGTAGTTTTGCCATGTCGTTTTCTAACTTTTTCAGGTACAGGTGCAGGTCCTCTCAAGTTTTCCGAATTATCAGTGGACTCAAAGTTATTATCTGCTACATAAGATTCGTTGTCATTATCTCCATGTGCTGCTGGATTAGTACCATTTGAAATATCTATTATATTATTATTTAAATTATTTAACCTATATTAAAAAGAAACAAAATAAATTTGGTTATATCTACTATATTGTGTATAATTTATATAATACTTATGAAATGTTCTGTATACCCTTCATTGGACAATGTTGGTTGTAGCAGTCCATTTCTTCCTGAGAGAGCAAGTGGTTGAATACTGTGTTTCTTTCCTAGCAACTCTGTAAGTTCGCTGTAATATGATGCAAATATTTTACACAATTCTTGTTCATTTTCTTTATGTATCATACATAGAAAAATATTACATACGTTTCAAAACTGCAAGTTTTTCTTGCTCTTCCTGTTTTTTTATTGTTACTTATCACATTTTTGTATGCGCGTTCCATTATTTTAAATTTATTCTCAACTTGTAGTGCAGATACAGAATAACCTTCTTGTCTCATTTCTTGTGCAATATATTTCCACATTAACTTATAAGTTTTTATTTTTCTTGTGTTCACATCATCCTTCTTTTGTTTATATAAGTCTAAAAAGAACTTTGTTGCTGCATCATTCCAATTAAAGGCTTTTTCCTTTATTACAGATTCATTTATATTATTTTCTTTCTCTTCTTCTTTATCAACATTTTTAACTTGTTCTTGTATTGTTTTTAGGATTTCAATCAATATTTCTGTCCCACAAAGATCAACTACTATAGTATCAGATGAATAGTCAATTTCATTATGAGGAATTTTAATTACTCTTCCATCTAAAATACACAAAAACAGATATAATAATTATTTCAGTTTTAATCCTGTATGGCAAACATTTTCAGTAACATATAACATACGAGTTATTTGTACTTAAATTACTTTGTACAATGTTATAGTGTTCAAACAATTCTACACAAATTCATACATGTACTTTAAAGTTTCTAAAAAAGGATTACAAAGAAAAAGAAAAGTTCAATATTTTACAAATCAAACTACATTAATTAAATCTTCTACAAATTTACACAATGTGAAATGACATGAATACGAGTGACTCATATATGCCATTTAAGGGTTAATAAAACAGCTATTATACATACCATCAATAACACATTGCACATATCCGTCACAGTCAATTGCACGTCCCATAGTCCCAACGATTAAAATACCACGTTTTTTTGTTGTTGTCATGTTTAAACTAATAATAACCTTGAAACTTTGGTAGCAAACTACAACTGTAAATGCAAGAATGGAAACATGTAACAAAATGTTAATTATTATAATTTATACTCTTACTATACTTAATACATATGATAAATGACAAATCTGAAGAATTGCAATGGAAAATCTAACAGCCCTTTTTCTCACCAATTTGGGTAAAAAACTTTCTCATTTGTATTTTGGTACGAATTTAGTCACGAATATGAAATAAAAAAATCATCGCTCTCAAACGTATTGAAGTTATTTTACACACTAATATACAATCTGAAAGTTTCACCTACATCAGTAAGAAGGAGAGCTTTCCTTCAATTTCTGTTTTCACGCTTTTCCGTACCTTACACTAATTTTACACTCTCTACTCTACCTCAAGACCAAGTGTAAGGAGTGTTACACGAAGTACAATTACACTCGCAAAACGAACAGGTGCTATTCCGTACACGCTTAACGACAACTACCGATGTCGTTAACGGCGTCGACCGACAAGTATCGGTAGAAGCTATTGTAAGATTTAAAAAGAGAGATCCTCTATTTCTCTGTTCTATTATCTTTCTGTCTCTCTTCTTCTTGATCCTCTTCCTTTGTGAGAGAGGGATGTTCAGGATGTTAAGGTTCCGAGCGATTAATTTGTACTCTTCTTATTATGAACAAGAATATCAGTATGTATATTTTAAATAAACAATAATACAATAGTATCCGACACCGCAACTTATATCAAATATATCTCTTTACAAAAGCTTAACGCTCTACGACTCTTTCTTCGACTTGACTCTAATTTCTATTATTCGTCTCGACATTGATCGGCAAAAGCTAAAGGCTAAAGAGCTAACAGCAAACAGGTAAAAAGCCAAAAAGCCTCGTCTTCCTCCGTGCGTCTCCTTTTATCCTTTTCTCCATCCGTCGAGTCTGATCTCTCTCAGGACCGGTCTTTCTCCCGTGGCTCCGCCCGGAATAGACTGGTGCTGTCCTCCCTCGTCTGTATCTTACAACTCGGCCATCCTGCTTCAGCTGCGTCCCGCGGCTGGTGCTGACCAAGCTTATATAAGGGCGGCTGACTTTGCGTCGGCCCTTCTTCGCCTACGTCGCTCGCGAGTTCCTTAATCTACGAGTTATTCTACGTTTACTTCGCTCGCTCGTTCATTCGGTAACAGTGAATTTTCATCCGAAATTTTTATCCACGGTTTAATCTTGTCTACAGATAGAATAGTATCTAAAGGTCGTGCTCGGTGATTGAAACCAGGTATATCTCGTACGACATAACGGTTGTATCCTAATACTTTAGCTATTCGATAAGGTCCTTTATAACTTGCGTGCAGCTTGGAACTTTGTCCGATTTTCCTACGACTGTCTCTAATTACGACTAAATCTCCTATCTTGTATCGCGACGGCTTTCTGTGTCGTTTATCATAGTATCTCTTATTGTACGCTTTGACGACTTCGTTGGCTTGTTGTGCCAGCATTCGCGCTTCGTTTCGTTCGTCATTGACGTCGGTCATTTCTTTCGCCCATTCACGTGTAAATTGTACGAGCGCCGCGTCCACGTGACTACGTTTGTCGTAACCTAACAGTGACTTGGATGGGGAACACTTAATGGACGCATGGTACGTGTTGTTGATGACGTATTGCGCGTGTCTTAGTTCTTCTTCCCATTCTTCGGATACACTACTACTTTTTGTTAACACGGCTTTCAGGAAACGGTTCGTGCGCTCAACCATGCCATTCGCCCATGGCGATGCTACTGCTACTTTGCGATGCTTAATACGCTGTTCGTCAATAAATTCTTTAAACTCGGTTGATGTAAAAGCCGTTCTCGATCGCTGACTACTTCGATTGGATTCCCGAATGTACAAAAAATAGAACGTAGGCGTTCGATCACTTCTTTCGATCCGGTGGATCGAGTGGGAAAAAGCCACGTGAATCTTGTGAACGCATCTACTACTACTAAAATATGTTTATTACCCTGCTTTGTCGACGCTAACGGCCCGAAGTGGTCAATGTGCAAGACTTCCATTGGATTCCGCGATACTGTTTCTACATGCAGTTCCCCTTCTTTATTACGTGGTGAGTTATTCGTCATTAGGCAAGTGATACAATTCTCTATATGATCTTTTACTGTTTTTCTTAGCGATGGGAACCAATAATTCTGAGTAATTCCCTGCACTGTCTTTTCGATTCCGCAGTGTCCCATTTGATCATGATAGATCCTAATCACATTTACCGTCATCGTCTGTGGTATCACGAATTTTAGTCTTTCATCCTGTTTCCTATACAACAATCCGTCTACCAACGCGAACTTGGGATCATCCTCGAACTCTAACCGTCTACAAATCGTTTGAAGCTGGGGATCGGCCAGCTGTCTAAACTCTAGCTCTCTTTCTAATGGTATTTCATCTACATACCCTGCATTTCGACTCAAGGCATCTACGTGAGCCATCTTTTTACCCGACCGGTGAGTCAATTTAAAATTATAATTTTGTAAAGCTAATGTCCACCGTGCTATTCGTGGATTTAAGTTAGCTTTGTTTACAGCATATACCAAGGCATTACAATCGGTGACTACAGTGAAACTTTTTCCGTATACATAAACATGGAACCGTTCAACCGCTCTAACCACCGCTAACATTTCAAGCTCGAAACTATGATACTTGGCCTCAGCCTGATTCGTCGTCTTGCTGTAAAAAGCAATGGGTGCCCACACCCCGTCTTTTTGTCGCTGTAATAATATCGCGCCCAGCCCTTGGATGCAAGCATCGGTATGGATCTCCGTTTCCGCCGTTGGATCATACAAACGCAGAGTGGGAAACGATGTAAGCTCTGTTCTTAAAGTATTAAAGGCTTCCCGACAAGGTGGACTGAAATCAAATACTGCGCCTTTCTTTAGTAGGTCTTGTAGAGGCCTAGCTTTTAACGCGAAATCTTTTATAAAACGTCGGAAGTACCCGGTCAATCCTAAAAACTGTTGTACCTGATGCGTTGATCGCGGTTCTCTAAACTTCGTGATTGCCTCGACATGTCGTTGATTCAAGGTAATACCGTTCGCTTTCACAATGTAACCCAAAAATTCGATTTCTTTTCGCAAAAATAAGCACTTATCGTGGTTAAGCTCGAATTTATATTGTTTTAAAATAATTAACACTTCTCCAATTACTTCCAAGTGTTCGGCTATGTTATCGGATGCGATCAAAATATCGTCTACATATACAATAATCTTTCCGTCATTAATTAACGGTCTCAGGATCTGCAATAACCTTTTTTGAAATTCGGCCGGTGCTTCGCTATAGCCAAAGGGTAATCTTTTATATTCATACTGGCCATCTGGTGTGCCAAAAGCAAAGTATTTTGTGTCGCGCTCATCGATTTTTATATGATGGAAACCGTCTTTTATATCCAACAATGTAAATATGGATTTATTCGCCAACCTTGCTAAGCAATCTTCGATTAGCGGGAAAGTGTATTTTTGTTTTTCTACACGACTATTTAAAGGTCGTAGATCGACACATAACCGCATGCTACCGTTTCTCTTTTTCACCGGTACAATCCTAGCACAATAAGGCGATATGCTTGGTTTTATAATGTCCCGCGCTAATAGATCGTTAATAATATTTTTGATTTCGTCGCGCTCAGCGAACGCAAACCGACGCGGGGCATACGCGTATATCGACTTATCTTTCAAGGGTACACGTATCGCGTGCCCGTCTTCGATTGCCTCGATCTCTTTATTGTTCATCGATACCAATAGATCTAACAACATTTCTTTTGTCTGCCTATTATAATCTATTTTGATATCGTCTAGTCTATCGTTAACTGTTTTATTTATGCCTTCCTCGATACACAAAGGCAATTGTTCGAACAGACAAACTCGCTCTACTTTTTCACTTCGCGGTCTGAAGACAAAAGAGATTCTTTCTTTATATAGAAAATCGCGTCCTAATATTATTTCTCCTTGGAAAGATTGTCTCGATAACATAAAGAGATCGACATTATATTGTAAGTTTTTTGTCGGCTCGAGTTTTAGCTGTACTTGCGTTGATCCTAAAATAGCTAACGGCTGCGCGTTTAAATTATATAATTTTGTTCCGACCGGTTTTAACGTCGGTATCGTCGGCTGTATGTACATTTTGTATAATTTTTCGTTAATAAACGATACTGGACTGCCTGTATCTATCAGGGCTTTAATCTGGCATCGCTTACCCATTATAGTTGCGACCGGTATAAAGGGCTCGCTGACTCGCAGTTCCTGTTCCTGCTCCGGCGCTACCTCCGGCTCCTGCACCACGGCAACCGGATGTCTCGGGGCATCATCTCCTGCCGCTCGACGTCCTCCTGTATAGGCTGGCGCCCTTGCTGGAACAACCGCTCCTTCTCTTCGCTTCAAGACTGGACACTCGAACTGCCGGTGCCCTTTTTCTTTACAGTAGAAGCACGTCGGCTCACTCCGACATTCCTTGTGGGGATGTCCTTTTCTACTACAGTTTCGGCATTTTATTTCTCTAGAACGTGCAATATTCGACCCGATCGGCGCTTTCCTTTCTGACTCGTTCACGCCCTCCGCGATTCGTCTCATCTTGGTCAAAAAGTCTTCAATCGTCTCCGCCGATAATGACAAAGCTGTAGCTCTCAGCGCGCTCATCGTTATTCCGTTTATCAATAATTGTATTTTATTTTGGACTGATAATTCTGTTCGCTGCATCAGCGCTAATTTGTCCAGAGCGTACTGATCAAATGTTTCTTTTATCGCGTTCCATTTTCGACTCTCTATTTTATTTATAATTTTATAGAAGGGAATCTCTCGATCGAAAATTTTAAGCAGTTCTTCTCTTACCCTTCTCCATGTTTGCAGCATCGGTCCGTATTGTGCGTCATACCATTTCCTGGCTGCTCCCGTCAGCCTCGCCGTTGCTGCAAGCAGCGTCACACCATCTGTCGCTCCATGTATAGCCGCTACACAATCGACTCGTTGTATCCAGATTTTAGCGTTCTCCTCTTCGGTTCCACCGAACTCCGGAATCTGCGACGCTAAGGTAGAAACCGAGATTTGCGATTGTTGCATTTCTATGGGGTTTTGACCCGTCACCACGCCGTCACTTCCCGACGGCGTAGAATTTTGCGTCGATCTTCCTCCGCCTTGGTGCTCAGTCGGAAGACCGGCTTCTGGTCTCCTGTTGGATAGCACTAGAAGCAACCGTTCAAACTGATTTTGTTGTTGCAGCATAAATTGTTGTTGCTGTTCCTGCATTAAGCGCTACATTTTGGCCAAACTGTCCGTGACTTGACCGATCATACTCTGTGAGGACCCTTCCGTCTGCTGCTCCATTCTTTGTTCCTCGGCTGAGGTCACCGCAGCCTGTCGGTCTTTTACCATTCGTGAGCTTTCCTCTGGTGCAAGAAGGTCTCTCATCGGCCCGTGTCGCTCGATGGGACATCACTTGTTCTATCATCCGTTCACGGTCGTTCGATACCGGCAATCGGAATTTTACTGCTTCCTCCTGCAGCTGCCTCAGTGTCATTCCATCCAGCACATTCCTGTTCATTTTTTCGACTCTTAATTGCTGTTCTTTAAACTGCAACCGTGTAATTGGCATGAGCTGTATCCCACTTCTGAAAGAAAATTGTGCGCTGTAAGATTTAAAAAGAGAGATCCTCTATTTCTCTGTTCTATTATCTTTCTGTCTCTCTTCTTCTTGATCCTCTTCCTTTGTGAGAGAGGGATGTTCAGGATGTTAAGGTTCCGAGCGATTAATTTGTACTCTTCTTATTATGAACAAGAATATCAGTATGTATATTTTAAATAAACAATAATACAATAGTATCCGACACCGCAACTTATATCAAATATATCTCTTTACAAAAGCTTAACGCTCTACGACTCTTTCTTCGACTTGACTCTAATTTCTATTATTCGTCTCGACATTGATCGGCAAAAGCTAAAGGCTAAAGAGCTAACGGCAAACAGGTAAAAAGCCAAAAAGCCTCGTCTTCCTCCGTGCGTCTCCTTTTATCCTTTTCTTCATCCGTCGAGTCTGATCTCTCTCAGGACCGGTCTTTCTCCCGTGGCTCCGCCCGGAATAGACTGGTGCTGTCCTCCCTCGTCTGTATCTTACATTATTCTGTACCACTGCTAACGACGAACGCGTAACGATATTTGTCGTTAGTTCGCGATAAACATCGTTAGATAGCGACAAACTTTAACGTGACCCCCGGGATGTGACGGTATCGCCGTACCGACACATTTTTGATGATATTTTCTAGTGAAATAGGAAATACGATTCATTAATGCATTGGAGCAGTAACATAGCAATAAAATTTGGAAAGGTGAGCAAAGGTGAGTTTATCTATAATATTAAATACCACTGTACATATTTGTTAAATAAATAATATAGGACATACTATATGCTCTTCATATTAATATTATATACTTTTAATACGCAATGAAAATAGGCTAACTCGGATTATTAGAGCAAGGTAATCTAAGCCAACCTAACCTAACATAATTTGATTTACCGTTTATCTTACAATTAATAATATACTTTAAAGAATGTGTAGATACATATATGTTTAATTATCTCCAATTTTATTGACGTGATATAAGATTGGATATATCTAAACATCCCTGGTGAAAAAATTTTGCTGAAAATCTCTGACAAAAACTATGAAGAACTCAATAGATTGGAACACTCTTTGAAAAATTCAGAAAACATTTCAGATATTTTCAGATTTTCATTGAAAAGAAAAGAGAAAATTATATTTTTTCATAAAAATTTCGTACTTTCTATGACATACTTTGAAAATCTTTTACTTTCTATGAAAAACTAATTTTTCAGAGAAAATCATTAATTTTCAGTAAAAAATTTTCACCAAGGATATATTTAAGTAACTATGAAATTCATGACTTTCTGATTAATTATTGATAATTTATAAAAATTTATTAGTAGAAATCATAAATTTGTTATTGTGTTCTAAATAACTTGTAATATATTAAGCAATATCATATTGCATTCTAGTGTAGTACAAATGGCAGAAGGATTTCTTGCATGGGACTTATTAAATCTGGAGCATCGAGTAAGACGTTTAGAACGCCATGTGGAGAGGAGAGAATAGCGAGATGCCCATGATCTATTCGACCTCCACGATGATGAATTTATTAAATTATATAGATTAACTCCAGATATCGTCATAGAATTGGCTAATACTTTAGAACCATGATAGAACATCAGCGTCCATATAGTCTCAGCCCAGAACACCAGGTACTGATTATTTTGCATTCATTTAAAATACTATAGTAATTCAATGTCATATGTTATTATGAATCTGTGCATATATTATCATTAAAGTAAAATTTAAGGACTATAAGTTATAGAAAGTTTATCGCTTTTAGATTTAATCATTGCTTATTCCAAAATATTTTTTTCAGATATTAACTGCTCTCAGGTTTTATGCTTGGCTATTACTAAGGTGCAATCGGAGAGCAATAGGATATTGCAGTGAGTCAAGCATCTGTTAGTCGCTGTATACGAAAAGTAACCAATGCGATAAATGATTTATTATTACGACGATGGGTTAAATTTCCCATGACGGATATGGAACGCCATGTCGCTCGAGAAAAATTCAGAACTGCAGCTCAGCCATTTCCAGGTGCTATCGGAGCGATTGATTGCACTTATATTAATATTAAAGGACCAAAAGAACATGAGGAGGCTTATGTTAATCATTGAAGTGATCATACGATCAATGCCCAATTAGTACGTATTATTTATATATTAAAGTTCAATATAATTATAATCTAAAATATAAAATAAGAGTTTTTTTAAATTCAGTATCCCAAAATCTATTTTTTGTAATCATAATTTCAGATCTGTAATCCCGAGTTAAAAATATTAAATGTAAACGCACGATATCCCGGCGCACGACATGACGCATACATATGGTCGAACTCTCCCATACATCGTATCATGGAACGACGATTTAACAATGGAGAACGCAATACTTGGTTAATTGGTAAGATTGTAGGTTTTATTCATTAAACGGTGATAAATAAAGATTATTTTTTTACAAGTGATGATGGTTATAATCTTGAACCTTGGCTGATGACTCCCTTGAAGCACGAAATACCTGGTTCTCCTCGATTTCGATATAATGACGATCTTTGTAGTACAAGGTCATGCGTAGAACGCTTGTTTGGTGTGTGGAAAGCGGTATTTAAATGTTTATCAGTACAGAGGCGATTAATGTACGAGCCAGGCATGGCTGATAAGATAGTAAACGCATGTGCTGTGCTTCATAATATGAGAATTGCACATCGTATGTAAGAAGTAGAAGTAGACGAAATGGAGATCGAAGCTTTCCGTCGCATGGGACTTAACGCAGATGTTGAAGATAACGAAAGAGAACGTATCTTTCGAGGACGAGCACATGCAATTCGCATACAAGAAAACCTAATAGCTCGCCAATATGGTAGAGTTTAAAGAATAATATTATGTTGTATATATTAATATTAATTAATGTTGTATATATTAATATAAATTATAATAATAATATTATGTTGTATTGTAATATCATAATATGTAAAAAGACAAGGCACATAATAAATTTATAACTTTTATAATAACCTTTTAAAATAACTTTTATAATAAAAAAGACAAGGCACATAATAAATTTATAACTTTTATAATAACCTTTTATAATAACCTATCTACTATTTTTTGTAAATTATCTAAAACTTTAATTTGCTGTTCATCGATTGCAATTCTTCTTTCTTCAATTGTAAGTCGTCGTTCTGAGCTGCTAACAGTGCAGAATCAGCCAGTTTCATCGAGGTCTCTGCATGTAACTGTTATAAAAAAACAGAAAATATTATTGTTAAATAGACTAATAACTAATAACTTTTACAATAATCAGAATTCTATAATAAATCAATAACAAATATTTTACCCGTAAAGTAGTTGTATGATTTTCTGCAATCTCTGCAAATTTATCGCGTGCTTCTTGCAATTGCGTACCAATCCGTTATCTGTTCCTTCCTGTAAAATAATAAATAAGGAATAACTAATTATATTCAAGTCATAATTACTATTCAAGTAAGAAAATTTCACTAACAGATATGTTATTATGTAATTAATATGTATTTCCTTACTGTTACTGTTATTATCGTGAGTAATATCCTCCTCATTTAAAATGTCTGCTATTGATCTTGTCGTTGGTGGATTTCTTAAAATATCTTCGTTACCATTTTCAAGCTGTTCTGATATTCCTACAAAAAGTAAAATTATATAAAATTTGGAACACTATAATTAATTTTGTATATTATATTTAAAAAATATATATATATACAGGGTAAATCAATTAAAGTGTTACAGACTTATATCTTGGAAATGAATAATTTTAGAGAAAAATGTTTCAGACAAAAGTTGTATGGTATCAAATGGGACATAAGAAGGTATCATTGATTAGACCTTGGTTAGCCATTTAAAGATTACGTGAAGGTCACCAATAATTTTTCAAATGGAACGCCCTACTTTTTTGGCATATTCTTATAATATATTTCAAGAGCTTTCCAAAACACTACAACAAAGTATTTTTTTGTTAAGTATATCTCGAGTTATGAAGCTCCAAATTTACAGTATCGTCGGCATTAGCATTACCCAAGGTGTACTGCGTGGAGGTTGCACGATCGGATTTACACCTCTTGTGTGCGTGTGTACGTGTGTGTGTGCGCGCACGTGTTCGCACGCACACACATACGCGCGCGCGCGCGCGCACGCACACACACACGCACACAAGAGGTGTAAATCCGATCGTGCAACCTCCATGCGGTACACCTTGGGTAATGCTAATGCCGACGATACTGTAAATTTGGAGCTTCATAACTCAGGATGTACTTAACAAAAAATACTTTGTTGTAGTGTTTTGGAAAGCTCTTGAAATACGTTATAAGAATATGCCAAAAAAAGTAGGGCGTTCTATTTGAAAAATTGTTGGTGACCTTCACGTAACCTTCAAATGGCTAATCAAAGTCTAATCAATGATATCTTCTTATGTCCCATTTGACACCATACAACTTTTGTCTGAAACATTTTTCTCTAAAATTATTCGTTTCCAAGATATAAGTCTGTAACACTTTAATTGATCCTGTATACCCTGTATACACCCTGTATCACCCTGTATACAACTACGAATAATTTGTAACATAAGTAATTTATATTATAAAATATAATTAAAGACATATAGATACTATTTTGAATATATTACTTCTTCCTCTGGGGTACTGCCTGGACAATCAGAAGCACCTTGCACATACTCCAAGCCGATGCAAGAAATTATGCGTCGCTCCATATCATCTAACGGCTCAGCGTTAACAGGAAAATTTCCAGTACGATTTCTCTCGTTTCTTAAATTGGATGCTTTTTTGGACGCATTATTTTTTAGATCACGCTAAACCTTAATAAACAATTAATATAATAGACTTTTAAATACAGTTGATAACGTCTATTTTAATATATCATGAATATAGCTTAGTTTATACCAATAATTTATGTGCATACAAAAAAATATATTTAACCAATTACTAAGTTAATTTAGTATTGGGTGAGTGCAAAAGTTCGTGCGGAGTTTGTGAGTAAAAGTCACACAGTGATTAGGCAAACAAAAATCTTTATTCAATCAATGATATATTCTCCATCGTTTTCTATAATCTTTTCCCAACGTTCTGGCAGCATACGGATGCCTCGATCATAAAAACTGCGCGGTTTAGATTCGAAGAACGAAGAGACGCCGTTTTTTAAGGCCTCCAAAGAGTCAAAGTTTTTTCCATTTAAATAATTTTGCAATGACCGGAACAAGTGATAGTCAGATGGTGCGATACCAGAAGAATACGGTGGATGCGTTAAGACATCCCATTTCAGGCTCTTCAGTTTGCGCAGCGTCTTTTTCGAAACGTGTGGTCTGGCGTTGTCGTGATGAAAGACGACTCCCTTGCGATTTGACAAAATCGGACGTTTCTCTTTTATTTCTCGATTAAGATTGGTTAATTGGCGACAGTACTTGTCCGAATCAATCGTTTCGCCAGCGGGGAGAAGCTCGAAATAGATTATGCCCTTGCAATCCCACCAAACAGAGAGCATCACCTTCATCGGGTGCAAACTGGCCTTTGGCATTGCGTCACCATGCTCACCTGATTGTTTCCATGTCCGTTTGCGCTGAACATTGTTGTAGAGGACCCATTTCTCATCGCCCATCACTAGTCGATCCAAAAACGACTCGTTATTGAGCCGCCCGAGTAAAGAAACGGCTGCAGAAATGCCCTTGATTTTGTTCTTCTCGGTCAGCAAATGGGGCACCCATATATCGAGCTTCAAATCGAATCCCATCTTTTTTAAACGCCGAAAAGCGGTTGATCGGTCAACGTTTAGTGCTGTAGCAACTTCTTCTGTTGAAATTCACGGATTATTGAGCACTAAAGTATGCAAAACATCGTCATCAATGTCAGAAGGTCGACCAGAGCGTGGCTCGTCTTCAAGGTTAAATTCTCCGCGCCGAAATTTAGCAAACCATTTTTCCACAGTTCGTTTAGCTGGTGCTTCATCCTGATAAACATCCTGAATGTTTTTTACGGCTGCGGCAACGTTTATTCCCTTCCGAAACTCGTAAAGCATAACATGCCGTAAATGCACCTTATCGATACTCATTTTTAAAGTGATATTTCTCGAAGCAGTTTATATGAAAACAAATGATTTTTTTTTTTAATAACAGCTGAAGACGTCACCTTTCCAACGTTATATAATATGTAGATGGAAGTATTAATGACAACACTTTACGACGCTTATAACTCCATCTATTGAAACTCCGCACGAACTTTTGCACTCACCCAATACATATATATTTAATACGTGTATCAAATGATTGGTATAAACTAATTCTATGCAAGCACACTAAATATAACATAATAATTAAATAATTACAGTTTGCCATTGTTTCAGTTTTCCCAGAGCCGCTACTCAATGCATTAAACATTTTATGTAATTCCTCCCATTGTTGAGCATTATGCTTTTCTCCTTCCTTTGTGAGATATTTGCTTGCAGCAAATTCTATATGGGTTTCCATGTATTTTATTATTTCTTCATATTGCGTTTGGGTTGTTCTTAATGAGCGTACTCTTTTCATGCTAAGAAAATATATAGATTTAATTTTGTAATAATGCAAAACAAATGAATTAAGTCAGTTATTAGTACATTCCTTAATTAGGTAAATGTTTAATTTAACCCTCCTTACGCTTTGTACATTAACATATGATACTTTCTATTCAGTATAACAAGTATCCTAACGTCCAACATGTCACTACTTCTCCGCTCTATTACTCTTTTTCCATTGTTAAGCGACAATTATAACCTTCGAAACCTTCTACGCACGGAAACGAATCGATTCACTAATTTTTATCAAAATCTAAGCGGGGAGGGTTTAACTAAATATTTATCTAACCTACTTATGGTTTCTACACTTATCTGCTATGACTTACAGTATACAGAGTGGACCATTTTAACCTTTAATGGAGAATAACTCGACCGGTGAGCGAAATAATGAAAAAAGTTTCATACAAAAGTTGTTGGGCAAGGAGGGGGACGTATAACCATATCCTTGAATTTGACCTTGACTTTGACCTTAGGGGTTATTTGAAGGTCAAATAACATTTTTTAAATGGAATTGCCTATTTTCGACCCCGGATTTGGAAAGAGCGGGAAATTTTAGAATAGGATATGGTATCGATAAGATCAAATGTCATGTTTTGAGGTCATTTCAAAGTCAAAAGGAACTTGTACGTGTATTCATGCGAAAATCGTATATGTATACGGGGATTTCTAAATTATCTTCTACACTTAGCATTACCCAGAGACAACGACGTGGACGTGGTAGAATTCTGCCTCTTTCGGAGTGCTTATTTAGAGTGAGTCCCCTTGCCTCTCACTATGCATACTTTGCTATTGTTAATCTAGCTATTCAAAAGGTTTTCGAAAGTTGCACCGTTAGCATTTATGCAATAATTGAGCCTTCTTTGGAAATGGGCCACTGTGCTGAGCAAGACATTTCGTGGAATCGCTTCACAAGCTCGTCTTATGCGATTTTCCATATCTTCTCTTGTTGTTGGTTCTTCTTTGAAAACAACTTCTTTCAAATAGCCCCAGAGATAAAAATCGAATGACGTCAAATCAGGAGCTTGTCCAACAACTTTTGTATGAAACTTTTTTCATTATTTCGCTCACCGGTCGAGTTATTCTCCATTAAAGGTTAAAATGGTCCACTCTGTATATATTGCGAACATCACTTGTACAAAAGTAATAATTACATACATAAATGTATGTCTTTTTTAAAATTTATTTTTTTATAGTTTTTATATTGTTAATATAAATTATATACCTTTCGGCTTTTCTTGTATCCCTTCCCTCGATGTACTTTCTTATGTAACTGTAATGCT